AATAATAAATTAATATAATAGTAATGCAAAGTGCTATCACACTAAACCAATATTAATATATTTTACATCATACATCTCTACTGTTCGCAGCGACCTACGTTTTTATAGTTTTTTCGATATTTTCCTGTTATTTTATAAAGTCTAAAATTCTTAATAGTATGGTTTCATTAGATCAAAATTTTTCATTATAAAAATTATCATCATTGATATATGAGGGAAACAAATATGACTATGTGGAATTTTGTGACATACAAGTAAATTTTTTTGGCAAATATACCTGTATATGAAGACAATGAATGAATGAAAATGTACATTCCATATTTAGGTCCGTATCAATGAATGAATATTTTATCAAAGCATATAATTTTGTATGTCTTATCTTTGCCCCTAAAAGCAGTAGATCAATCATTTTCATGTTATATACTTTGACATATTCATAATGAATAATCCACAAAAGGACATTATGAATCCCTAATACGATATTTACAGGCTTTTTTATCTCACATTTCTCTTTACAGAAAAATTGTTGTAGTATTGTAAAAATCTTTGATATATACGAAATACATTAAAATTTCTGATATTCGAACTCGTAGTAGAAAAAATGTTATTAAAAATTTATAAATGCAATTAAAAAAAAGCTTTATAGATTTCTAGTAGTTCAGAAGAGAAATTGATTTCAACATTTTACAAAGTAATCAGTATTTATGATTCATAGATTTTCTATGATAAATGTGTAAATTATTTTTAACTTTGTAACTCTGTTTATGGCGATTTTAATGATATTTTGTATGATATAGTTCATACACAAGTTCACATTTCACATTCCAAAATATAGGCATACGTGAAGTGGTTTAATTAAAAAAATAATGACATTATTGCCACACCAATAAATTCTAAAATTTTAAGAATATAAATGTTCATTCAGTAAATTATCCACATAAGTCAGGATAGCATTCTGCAACTTCGATTTTTTAATTTATTGCTAAATAATGAAATATCGATTTCAAAGTGGTTTACTCGTAGTTCCAAATATTCCAATCGGAGTGTATAAAACTATTGGAAATCGTAGTAAATTTTATCTAGTTTTACCTTATCTAACTGAAAAAGGGTGCTTTCATATAAAAATTGTGAGTAATTTCACAAAAACCATAGAAATGTCCCATGTTTATGAGTTATTTGACAAAAACCAAAAAAAAAAAAAAAAAATATTGCTCTTCAGTATTTTTTGTTTTAGATATTTAAAGTTATGAAAATAACTTTTATCTTGAATTCACTTTCATATTTATAATTACAATATTTTGAAGCATTTAATAATAAAATATAATAATATTATATGAACTGAAAAATACACAAAACCCATGACTTATATGAATCACTGTTTAATCAAACAGTTTCGTTTTGTTCCATTATAATAAAGAGTTTTGAAATGATAATTTTATGTTAATAAATTTTATTTTTCTGTTAATAATATTTTATAACATTTTATATATTTCACTAATAATAGTATTATGGAAATCAAAAAAACATAACTAATCACTAATATAAATTACTGTTTGTTTGTTTAATGTTTTTTTCTATTAAAATAATTTTATTTCCATAGAATATTATTACTGACCTTTGTTTTAAAGTTACAAAATACCATTACTAGTACTGAGTTTTTATTTTATAAATAATTCTTCCAATATTAATGAACACATAGCAAACCTAATGCAATGTAATTTTCATATATCTTAAAACATATTATTAAAAAAAATTCTGTAGTGGGGTACCATAAAAATCTTTTATGTAAAAAGCGAATACGCTTTTTTTAAGGCACATACAGTCGTACTTAAACGCTTATATACGGTATTCAAATACATGTAATGTTCCTTTTTAGCGAACATAAATTACATTGAGACCGCGTCGTGTGAAAACTCTCATTTTTTTGCTAAAAGACCATTTGGATTGCAAAGCCACATACATAAATTCTCAACCTCACAGCTAAAGATTTCGGGATTCGAGCCATTTCTGTTTTGTGTTAAAAAAAATGTACTTCTCGTAGAAATATCATTTTGTTATACAGACTGAGATTAGGTACTATAAAGTTTGCTTTTGTAATTATATTGGATTAATTAGAGATCTCTAATTTCATTCACATTTAATTTTGATTTAATGCATGACTCTTTTAGTTTCGTGTGCGCCAATTACTGAATATATTTCATACCATTCATTACAAAATTATTGTATAATTGCTTGCTGATTATATATCATTAGAAATCAACATGCGTGCTCTAAAAGATCAATTGCTGTTCATGTTGAACTAATTATAGAATGCACGTGCATAATATATTAAGTATTCTGATAGGAAAATTATTAATTTATTTCACGTAAACTTGTGTACAATTGTCATCTAATGCAGTAGATTCTTGGATCATTGGAATACTATAATAGCTTTATGGAAAAATTCAAAATAAATTAGATCAAAACCTTCTAATTAACTTCCCGCAGGATAAGTTATAGTAATCATGAAAAATCGGAAATGAACATTTTTCCACATCTTAACGTTTCAAGGATTTCTGAACATTTTGACATGCCTTGGGAAAATTGATGTGTGTGATGAATATGCAAGTGTGTGTGCGGGAACATCGATCAATCGATTAGAGTTCAAAAAACATTCGATTCGTATTGATAAGGAGACTGATCAGTTTTTGGAAAAGGGAGGGCCAGTCAAAGTGAATTGAAATTAATGAAGAATTGATAAAATTTTTAGTTTTGGAGACTAATAAGAAAGTTAAAAACTAGTGGGGCGCATGGCTTCGTGCCTTAAGGCAAATTGCAGGAACTTCCCGTATCAAAAAATATTTTTTTTAAAAAAGATTAACATTTTTGAAAGAAAAATTACTCTAAAAAAATTAGATTTTTGTGAAACTATAAATTTTTGACAGAATTTACTTTTTTTTTAAAAAAAAGACTTTTTGAAAAAAAAAATATTTTTAAATTTTTTGGTAATTCTGAACTTTTTTTCAAAGCAATCGTTCTGCTTTAACTGCATAGATACGAATTATTCAAATCGCTTCATCCGTGTTCCCGAAATCGTCGACGATAATTTGTAACCGCACACACACATACACACATACATCCATTTTTTCTAAGGTATGCCAAAATGTTCAGAAGGTTTTGAAACGTAAAGATATATAAAAAATTATTATCGATTTTTTGCGATTACTATAACTTGTTTTACGGGAAGTTAAAAATTGATATTTGGCACATCAACTTATCAGACAATTTATAAGTATTTTAATAATAAGTACTAATTTTGTTTTTATGAGTTCCGTACCAATTTTAACGATATTATTGCAACGCGGCAATTTGAACTTTGAAAAGAAAAACGAAATTCAAAAGAAAAAAATATGAAACAATATATATATTTTTTTAAAAAGTGATTTTTCAAAAACTCCAAAATGCCTATTTTTATCAAAACTTTTTTAAAGTGGTAATTTTTGGTACAGAAATTAACATTAATGCACGATGCCATGCACTAGTAGTTGTTTTTGTTTTTTATAGCAATGGTGAAAATATTATTGGCTTTTAATTTTTAATTTTAGAACTAGTGATTATTTTTATAATTTATGTATTTAGCAATAAATTAATGGTGTATCAATTTCTGCTTATTTGTAGTATCTTTTTTTTCACAAAACGCGAAATTATTTGCAAGTTTATTCAATCATATACTAACGTTTATATATAATATAAATAACGCAGTTGTTCAAATATTTACCATAGACAAAAAATTATATTCATCTTTTGTGTTTAGTAATTCATTTACAAGTGGGCTAATATTGTTCTACATTCTTTATTGATAAATGTGACAAAGAATTATTTCTAATTCAACACTGCAATTTAAATATTTTACAAAATTAAAAAAAAACTTAATTCGAATGGCTTATTTAGTTAATAATTTATGGTTAAGAAGATTATTAGAATAATAAAAAGTAATCATCAATATAGGAGACAAAAACATTTGCAAACATTAAAAAATCAATTTGTCAAAGGATCTGAAAATGGAAAAATAACAAGACGACTTTAAGGACATGCCATCTGAACTCAGCTCATGTATAAAGAATTCACTTTTAATAAATGACACCTGTTTTTTTTTCGTGTAATATTCCTTATTACAAATCTGAAAAGTCTGCTATTAGGTAACACTTTACCAGCTTGTAACTATATTAGAGGCTAAACTTATCAAGTACCTTTTTAAAAAAATATCTAAAGGCGAGGAATAAATCCTATACATCACAACTTTCATACATAATAATAATTTTTAGCTCGTTATATGTTCTTACATATATCTATCTTTCGATACGGTGGAGCGATCTTGTACATTAGCCCATCAAACTGAGAATACTCACATTCAGTATATTTTTTGCAAATTTTGTAATTAAATTTTTTTCACGCATATATTTTATTAAAAATAGTATAAAACATTCACTGAAAGTTTCATCTATTTAATTTTGATATTTCTGAGCGATCTTGTACATTTGTCCGTCAAAACTATCGTACGGAGTCGGTAGTCGCATTAGTAATGAACATGCGTGTCGGACGTTGATCAAATTAATTACATTTATAGGTCCTGACCTAAAATGTTTCGGTGGACGTCGATTCGCGATTCGGCATTGTTTCTGCATTCAGATATATAGATAGAAACGGCCAAATTTCTATTAGAACTCTGCTCCGTCTGTATCTCGAATGATGAATCCGTATGCACATTTGATTAAATTCTAATAATAATCGATCGTAATTGCGATACAGCCGCCAGACGTCAGAAATTCCACGAACTGATGTTAACGAGGTTAATTTATTGGCGGTTTAAATGACTGACATTGATAATAAATATTCAATTGATATGTAAATTTTGATATTTTAATTGATATTAAAAGAGATAAATATATTATTATATATATATATATATATATATATATATATATATGTATATATACATACAATTACGTTTTTATACACACCTGGTTCTAGAGATGTCATAAATGCGTAATGTATCAATAGAAGAACCGCCAAGGCGGTTATCCATTGAGAAACCGCTCTCCTTAACATGATTTGTTGTGGACAATTCTCCTTTCTGTTGATTTTGCTTCTTGGAGACTCCGATGTTCGAATAGCAAAAAGATTCATCGAATCTCGAGAACGAAAACCAAAACAGCCTCTACATGGTCAATCATTACTAGTGTTTGAAACACTTTTTCACTATCTGTAAAAAAAGAAATCGTTTTAATTGATTCTCTAAAGCAAAATTTTTCTATAAACGCACGATAAATAGTTACTGAAAAATTATAAGTCAAATGAGTAGAATATGTAAATAATGTAAACAGATTATTGTAATTATAATTAGCTTGAGAAAAAAATCAAAATTAATATTTCAAGATAGTCATCTTCATGAATAACACACGTGTATCAGTTTATTATAATAGAATTAGATAGATGCAAATAAGCAAGTTTTTTTAGCTATTTACAGTTCAGATATTGCTATGTGCTATAAATAAATTAGATGATATTTTAGGAGCAAATTATCTCCAACTTTGATTAAGTTTCTAAGAAGCGTATCAAAAATATCGATGTCTAATAAAATCGTCATTGAATTACAAAGTATTGATTTTTAACTAAAGCCGCCCAATTAGCGAAACCAAATTATATAAAAATAATAATAAAAGCGTTGAAAGCACAAATGTGAGATTGAATAAAGGAATAGTTATGAAAAAGCTCTCTAACTTTACTAAAAAAAATTCTTAACATTTACTACTAATATCAATATATAATCATTATAATATTTTTTATATGTTACAAATTCACTATCAAAACTAGTGAATACTATCAAAACTAGTGAATGCAGAAAAACAAATTGTGGAACTGGTTTAATTGGATTTTTTTGGAATTAGAAAAAAATAAGATTACTAAATTATCTCTATATCTATGCAATAAATAATACGAATCAAATACTATGAATCAAAATTGAGTAGAATTGGTCAAGTCAAGCGGATTGTCGTGACAATAATTAGAAAAATATTCCCAAAATTTATATTTTCAGACACTTAAGTAAGTGCAATATTATTAGTCTGTGGGTTCATTTTTGTAAATAAATAACTTATTGGGTTTTAATTCATGAATTATTGTTTTTTATATTCCTAAATTTACGGAATTAATAAATTAAGTACTAATATAAATGAATGAAACTTGCTCGTACACATTGAATATTTTTGACACACGTTCTGTCATGTTAATATTATAATTTAATATGTCTCAATTATAACTAATTTTCTAAAAATTCTTCAATATAATGAAATAAAGTGTAAAATGCGTCCAATATTAATACTTAATATTTGCGTACACAATTACAGAAAAAATAAAATTTTAACAGTTTACAATAAAATTAATAAAACCATGATTTAAAACTTTCTTTGTTAATATTAATAATAATACAAATATTTTCATAAGTTTACCAATAAGTTAATAATATTCAGACCAACATGAAATTATAATTTTCCCAAAAATAGTTTTTTTTATTTAATATTTAGTATATTATTTGTCAATATTTATATAATGATCTAAAAAATAACGATAATAAAAAAAATATTCCTGGAGCAATCTGAAGTCATGTTCTTTAAAATGTAAGATTATATTATTTAATGCATTTATTACAGTTATTTATTATATAAATTTCACCAAAAACTATTTTACAATGTAGATATTTATCTAAATTTTTTTTATATTGTGAGACAAGTCAAATATATGAATTTCGAATGTTCCTAATTTAATAATAATTATTTCTTTTACAAAAATTATAAAACAAAATCCCAGTTAGATCTAACATAAAATTACATACCGTATTAAAGTAATTCCATCACCATAAAAATGAAGAAGAACTCAACGACTTTTGGTATTTCAACAGAATAATGCGAGTTTAGTAATTATAATTGAACTCACGACTTCGTATTTTCTTATTTTCGGTAAAAGATATTACGACGAGAATTAAACTTTTAACATTTCGAAAGTACGAATGTAATAACGCGAATGAAAGTTATCTCCTGAAACACACTAATTGTGCGAGAGAATGCCTTTTGTTTGCTCCGAGTTGAAATAAAAATTAAACTTTGGTAATAATATAAATTTAAGGTAGTTCTTATATTTTTTTTTAACTTCCGAACACATAGTACAAATATTAGATATATTTGCTATTCAGCAAAACAATTACAGAGTATATTATTTTCTCTATACTATAGGTCGGTGAAAATTGCCTTTGAAAAGTATATTTCCAGCTGTTTGACTAATGTATAAAAATGAGTCAACAAAAATTATCAAAAAGTCTAATATGACAGATGACCTGATGAATATTATAATGAAATATTAATCTACACATTGATCATCCCTTTTATTACTATAAAAATAGGCTATGATATATTATTCTCAATTTTCCGGTCAAATATTTACATGTATTCTAGAAGTGATGACAGGGGTAAGATTAATGTGCTAATTTATTGACTTAATTTTAATCTTATATGACAACGACGGAACTAGTAAATTAACAGAATATCCAAAATATTAAAATTTTATGAGAATATAAAAAAAGAGTACGCGTAAAATTCACACGCGATTGAAGTAAAACTTTTTAGCTATTGTACGAGATTGCATTTAAGTTAAAAATAAATCATATTACAATTTTGAATAATGTTCATCAGTAATATGGTAACACTGGTGATGGACATATTTTTTAATGTTAACCATTATACATATTTATTTAAGAATAAATTATAAATTTATAATAGCATTGAAAATATTTATATTATTTGAAAACAATAATGGAATTAAAGTCATACGATATGATCGGTTTGTCATTGGAATTAGCATCTAGGACTTGAAACTTTATTAGAGAAATAAAGTAATTGCTGATAAACTCCATAATATTCGATCACACAGTAGAGAGCTGTAATATAACAATCTTGAATAATTTCATTAACATTAGCAATGAATAAACTGCATAGATGTTTGTTTTAAAGTATATCTGTATATAAATGATACACAGCTACACAAACTATTGTTGTGCTCGATTTCTTGTTTAGAGTAATAAATCTGAATATCAATTTATTCTTCATAATTTATAAGAATATGCAACTTTGTAATACTTGATAGCCATCATAAACGAAAAACACGTAGACTTCCACTAAACTTCTAAAAGTGTCTGAGATATAATTCTGAAAAAGATATATCTTCGGCATATTAGAATAAAACTGTACTGCTTTAATGTTTAATAATATCTATAAAAATGCAGATAATTATTATGTTAAAATGGCTAAATAAATATTGTTTTCACAATTTCACTTGTCATGTAATTGTGTTTGAAAAACTTCATGTAATTAAAATTAACATACAATCATTGATTTCTTGTTTTTTTTTAGTTTTTCGCTGGCGATGCTGTTTCATTCTTTGAACAGTTGTAGTATAATTATTTATGGGGAACGGGATAAAATATTCTTCCGATCCAGACATTTTTTTATTAACTCAAGATTTGTACTAATATTTAACCTTAAAATGTAATGACATGAAACACTGAAAAATGAACAATATGCTTCACGCTTTCGGTGACGTACGCACGTATAAAGTTACGCATACAAAGAAGCCTCGCACAAATACGCCGACCAATCACAATCGACTCGTATAGAAATGATATCATCGAGTGCGAATGACGAATCTTTATATTGGCATTCGACTTGGCCGTAACGCACTTTCGTTGCATTTGTACGGATTTACACTATAGTCGCGCATAAAGAAGTTTTACTTCAAAATAACTTAATTTTGTATATCATGTATATTACTTTTATTACATATGATAACTTTTCTACTCAAAAAGAGAACTCTCGGCTTAAATTTTTATTTAATCAATCTTGCTGTCAGATTTAAACGTAACCCGGGATTATGGAATGAAAAATACATTTGGGATTATCTAAAACCACATTATTTGTGTTCATATGTTTGCACTGATTTACGAACGAATGAATAGGTTAAATATATCATCAATCTCTTTTTGAACCCTGCTCTGTTTTTTATCGTAAAAGGGGTTGCCTAAATATGTTTGGGTTATGCATATATTTATCGGAGTAAACAAAGAATCATATTCAAGGGTTGATGTGGTTTATTTAAAATTAGATATGAAAATTATTAATTTCAATCTTATTTTTATCTATAATTTTTTTTCACTCCAGTTTTTATATATATTTCTATATTTTTCCTAAATAAGTAATACAGTTCTTTGTATCTTCCTCCACCACGTTGTTACAAAAAAAAGCTCCGTTAAGAAAAAAGCAAGATAAAAATCTTCAATTAAACTTGTCTAATATACAAAAGTGTGTTCTCGCTACGAAACAGAAATTATTTTTTATAAATGCCTCTTCTCATTAGCGAAAATGAAAAGTCGGCCGTGGAAAAGTATATTTAATTTTTTAACAAGTCGGAAAAAACTTGGTCCGGCCGACCGACTGACTGGCTTTCATGTTATGGCAAAAGTTTATGTAATTGGAAATTATAAAAACTGAAATGATAACTTGCTGTATGTTCATTGAAGTAGATATTGATAATCAAAATTCTGAGATACATACATAAAGCACATGAATTCTAATTGAAAATTATTTATAATGTATACTTTAGACATCGAAATTCATATTAAATTGAATGAATTTAGTTGAATTGTATAAAATATGTAAATTGATTAAGGAACTTAAAGATTTCTTTTTGGATGAGTCATGAGGATTCTGGTTTTCCTTTTTTGAAATATTTGTCCTTTTGGGATTTTTGTTCGAAAATATTTGAAATTAACCGTCGAACATTTTAAATGTCGATGTATCTTCTTATTTTTCATATAGCATAAGAAAATGTAGTTAAGAGACTTTTAAATATTCTAGAAATAATGTTCTATTTATCTATTTGTGAATACTTTGTATAATATTTTGCTGTGTAAACTAATAAAGCATTTTATTTTTTTTATAATATCTAAGAGTATAGTAATTCTTTTAAATTGTGTAGTAATATTTGTAAAAATTTTATCTATTCTTTAATGGCATTAAATAAATTTTGTGACTAATAACTGCGCTAATGAAGAACATTAAATCAAAAGTTACTTTAAATTCCTTAAAGTAAGTTATAATAATCGCAAAAAGTTCAAAAATGGAATAAGTACAAATTTTGTTTCCATTTCTATGGATT